CTGTTCTTCACCGTGCCAAGGCTGCAGGTAGACCCACATCCACAAAGCTTTGACTACTTTAAGGCACATGAAAATGATGCTACAAAGCAATAAAATCTTAAAAGTCGAACGTGTACAAGAGAAATAACCTATATACATTTATTGTTCAGTATACAGCATTAGCTTACTAACTGGACAACTATTCAACTACTATAAATAAAACAATTTTACATCTAAACAGGCGTGTTTTCTGTAGCATACCTCACATCAAGTGTATATATCTAAATATATCTAAATCTAAAAAATAAATGTGTCCTGCATTTTCAAACAAAATTTGTTAACCTCCAGGAGCCTAATCAGTTCAAGTTCTCCAAGTATAACTCAGCAAATATGTTAACGCTATGAAAAATCTGGTCCTTGTTTCAGGGAAATCAGTTGGCATTGTCACCACAACCAGAGTTCAACATGCTTCTCCTGCTGCAGCCTACGCTCACGTTGCCAGCCGGGACTGGTATTCTGATGCTGATCTCCCAAATGAGGCAGTCAAGAACGAGTGCCGTGACATTGCTTACCAGCTGGTTTACAACACAGAGATAAATGTAAGACTTAATCAAAACGAGCAGGCAAATGAACAGTGCACTCACACAAATGATGAATAGAAAAAAAATCAAGGTACCTCTAGACTGAATAAACCAGATAAGGTCTTTTAGATAAGTCATTAAATTTTACCAAAAGCAGATTCCTAGACAATTTTGTAAAACATGGATGACAGCGAACCTAAGAAACCACTTTCTAATCCAAACCTCAGAAGTACTCGGTAAATAAATCCTCATACACTAAATGTGTTGTTTTTTTTTTAGGTATTTTACATGTACAAAAATCAAAAGGGGAATATATTTCTTTCTGCAGGTTATCCTTGGTGGAGGTCGTACCTATATGTTTCCCACAACAGTGGAAGACCCAGAGTATTTAAATGAGACAGGAGTCCGAAAGGACGGGAAAAATCTGGTCGATGAATGGCTAAAGAACAAACCGGTAAACAGTCCCTTCATCAAGTGTGCTCATCAGTTTTTAGTTTGAACATGTATCGTGATTTTCATCACTGAGCTTTTTTTTTTTTTAAAAACAAACATTTTCCACGTTTGTCATTGTTCCCCACCGACAGAATGCTAAATATGTTTGGAACAAGGCTGACTTTGATGCTATCAATCCTGCAACGACAGACTTCCTGATGGGTAAGAACTCTGAGGTGCATCACTTACAACTGCGTCATACAGAGAAGAAAAACACAAGAACTTGAGTACTCTAGACCCAATAAAAAACCTTAGATTTTTAAACAGTGACGTTTCGCTAAATTCTGCTGAACTCATTTGTCAGTGTTTTTAAGCAATTTATCAAGTTTGTGCCATTTTATTTATTTATTTATTACATATAAAGATTATATATACTATATGTAATATGGCAGATGTAACAGGGGAAAACTGAAGCCTGTAAATTCTTTCTTTTAAGGTCTGTTTGAGCCCAAAGACTGCCGGTACGAGCTGGATCGTGACCCCTCCATGGACCCATCCCTTACAGAGATGACAGAGAAAGCTATCAAGATCCTCAGCAAGAACCCCAAAGGATTTTTCCTCTTTGTGGAAGATAAGTATAGTATATTCACCAAAGAAAGAAATCAGGAATATTAATCAAAACAACAAATCATGGTTGACCTTTTAATGTGAATGTCCGATTGGCAACAACAGACAGAATAAAAACTGTGGCATATTTTCATGTTATTCTCATATTGTGACAATGGCAAAATCAATATCAGTATCAGCCTGCACCAGAGATATGTGGAGGGTCGGCTGAGTGCTGATTAATCTTGATTGCAGGCAGAAGTAAAACCAGTGTTCATTTATTTATTTATTTATTTATTTGCCAAGTCCACCTTTACTTTTGATGACAGATTTGCTTCTTTGGCACATAGAAGATTGTGAAAAAAATATTGTCTGTGTTTCTTTACAGATGTTTCATTCTTATGTATTTATTTTTAATTTGATGAACTGTTCTGCTCTTCTTCTCTTTAAAACTTGAAAAAAGGCTGGTTCATATTAGAAGCCCTTCCCAGTGACAGTTTTTTTTTCTCATTCATCTCTTGCTTCGGGTGTGTGCATTAATACGACTTTCCCCACACAAGTTTACGATGATGCAACATTGACATCATCATTGTCCTTTTCCATCTTTTACACATGGCACTGTGTCCAACAAATGAAATGTGGTCTAATATGACTATGAAGGAGCAGTTACTAACACACTGGTTTCCACAGATAATCTTATTATTAATTTCATGCCATTTTCCATAACTGGAACTCACTTTTGCTGCAATACCATTGGCCAAACTAATATTTGATGTGCTGGTCACAGTTGTAGCATTATGTCGCATTAGGGCTGTACTTTGGGACGCCTACGTTTTCACTGCAATCTCAAACTTTGCAAGAGACGTACTACTACAGATGCTTATTTATCAGTGACTTTCTTCTGAACTTCAAGGGGGAGAATCGACCACGGTCACCATGCAACAATGGCCAAAAAGGCACTCCATGAAGCTGTACAGTTTGACCGAGCAATCGAGCGAACGGCTGACCTCGTCAGTGACCTGGACACTCTGACTATAGTCACTGCAGACCACTCTCATGTTTTTGCTTTTGGAGGTTATTCTCCCAGAGGAAACCCTGTTCTAGGTAAAATGCACTTTTGGAAGAAGCTTTAGCATTAACAAGTCAGCCTCATCTTATGTTCTGAGTGGTAATTTGCCCTTGTGATATACAGGGATCGCTGATACCAAGGCTACTGACAACAAACACTTCACCACTGCTGTGTATGGGAATGGACCAGGATACCAGATTGCCAATGGAAGTCGCCCGGATGTGAATGAATCAATTTCAAGTAAGTGATACTGAGCATCTTTTTATGGAATCCAAATCAATGCAATAGCTCCATCTTGTGGTGTAACAGTAAACCAACTGCACTGCCACAAAACACTCAATCTAGCTTTTCACTGTCACCTCACAAACGTTCAGCAATGGAGTTTCATTGAATGGACAATACAGCTTCTTGTGTATATATACACCATTCTTTCAGGTTGTTTTTTTGACGGTGCCTGATGGGCCAGATATGCGATACGCGATATGACAGCCTGCTTCTGTCAGTCTGCCCCAGGGCAGCTGTGACTAAAACTGTAGCTTTCCTCCACCAGTGTGTGAATGAATAGTGGAGTGCTTTTCTTTCCAAGCACCTTAGACTACAATGACCTGGATGGCTGAGAACCTTCACAGACAATAGTGGAATTGTAAAGCGCTATATAAATTATTATTATCGATACAGCTAATGGCATCAGTACAATGCGTTTTAGTTTAGTAAGCCAACTGTTGGCTTTTTTTGTCAACACTGATCTTACTAAAGCTATGCAGCTAATACTCTTCTCTTGTTTCCCTTCAGCGGACAACAACTACGTCCAGCAGACTGCTGTCCCTCTTGATTCAGAGACCCACGGCATAGAGGATGTAGCCATTTTTGCCAAAGGTCCCATGTCACATCTTTTTGATGGAGTCCAGGAACAGAGCTACATTGCTCATGTGATGGCTTATGCTTTATGCATAGAGCCCTACGTGGACTGCCAATTACCTGAAGGCAGCCATGCTGTAGCAAGCCACCCTAGCCTGCTGCTTCTTCTGATTAGCCTCCTTCTACTTCCTTTCTACTCTATCTGAGATGACATGATATCTATCCCTGGAAAATCGGTGCTATCTGAGAATTTGGATGAGGAATAAATTATTGTTTTTGCTCTACTGTGTATAATTTAAAAGTGATGCAGTAGTTTTAGACAGCGGTGTTGTTTTATGTAATTTCCAAGTGTTGACACAACTTTGCAGTGAAAACCATTTCTGTTAGTATTGCATAGAGCAATGTTTTAATGCTGTGTTAAGCTCCTGTAAATAAAATCATGTACTGAATAAACAAGAGATTTCATATTGACAAATATTGGAGTTACTGTCAAGCACTCTTTTCATGACTGGTTAATTCATTCATTCATCCATTATGTTTCTGACTGATCATAGCACTACCATACATAGAGTTGGTGGTGTTTTATTTGAATTTCCCCAAACTTGGACAGAACTCTGAGTAAGCAGTGCACAATGTGAAGAGAATCCAGATTCACAAGTTCTTTGGCTGTATGTAATAATGTGATTCTTTTAGAATTTTTTGTTGTCATGTGTTTTATGTGAGGTTTCCTTATTTGTTTACAACCCAATAACACACTTCAGAATTTAGTTTTGGATACATTATCAATTTCAATATAAACCCCTATTCGCTATTAGAGTTTACTGGTTCTTGAAAGTATCAGAATCTTTCTCTGCAGTATCCAGGAGTTGATCGAAATTTTCCCCACTACCATGTGCTAGTAGTATCATCAGCAGAAAATACGCATTTTAAATTCATAAATACCTCCCATAAATCATTTATATTCAACAGAAAAAAATATTAGTTGTAAATACATAAACATAATAAATAAATAAATAAATAAATAAATAAATAAATAAATAAATAAATAAATAAATAAATATAGAACTAAGGCAGTCTCCGTCCCTATCCTACTTAAGTAGCCTATTTGAACCTCTTGCAAATTGCCAAATGTATCTTGTAAAGGGATATTAATATTCAGCTTTGCCTTGTGCGCCTTCCTTGATATTAGACTGCATGTGTATTTTTGAGTGGCTTAATGATTCTGAAGTACCATTTCATGTAAGCATTTGTTGCATTATAATGAGTTAATTAGCAGTGTGTGTTCGAGCATTTGAGTTTTATGTGACTCCGTCTATTAATTAAAAGTTTTGAAGCTAAAATAAAATACAGCAGTGGAATAGAAACGCTGTGACCTACAAAGACATTAGTAGTTTTTCAGGCAAAGACTTTGTGCCTTGCTTTAAATGAATCTATCACCTCATTGGTTAACTTTGTCCAATCAGAAGCGCATGTGGGAGGGATTTCCGTTTGCTGCGGGGCTTGGAGGGAAGTCTGAAAACAATGTACCGTAGCTTCATCGAAAAGTAAAAAAACAAAATGTAGATAAACTGTGAGTTATTGCTTTAGAATCTGAAACGCTCGCCCAATCGTCCAAGCTGCATTGAAAAAAAAATCATGTGAACGTTTTGCCGGCTTAAACTTTAGGAAAACGTAGTTTAATGTACGCAAACAATAGCTGGATTTCTGCAGCTTGCAAGTCGCCGTTAGCTCTGCTTGCTAACGTGAGCCAGAGCCACGTAGTTTATTACGCGCTGCTCGGAAGATGTTCACAGTTTAGATAAATTAAAAAACAAGTATCGCTGGCCATGGATCGACACACGAGGAGACTGACGAGTCAGCTGTGTAAAGCGGTGAATGAAGGAGATCCCAGGTGAGGTCCATCCCTTTTTCTTCTTTCCCCTGACATGTCCTGTGTTGTAAACATGCTACAGCCACCCACGTCAGACTAACATTAGGATTTACGTTTTTACATTTGTATACCTTATCCAGCTCTGATCTCTCAAAAAGAAAATCAATACTATCCACGATGTCGGTTTTCCAATAAAAAATTAAGTGTGCATGAACTCTATATGTCTACATAGCTACATATTTCAGTCCTTACTAGTTTGTTACGGGTGTTTTCATTTTTCGATATGTTAGTTAGTATTTGTCAGTGTAACACGTCTTGCTTTCGTGACAGATCTGTGCAGCAACTTCTTTTACAAGGCGCAAACCCCAATCTGGTGGGTACCAAAGGGGTAGCTGCTGTACACTTATCTGTTGGCAAAGAAACTGAGAAGAACATAAGATGCTTGAAAACCTTGCTGCAATATGGAGCTGACCCCAATATAAGGTATAGATCCAAAACAGTCACTTAACATCATATACATTTAGTCACTATAGTGTATTTTAAGTCAAAGAAGCAAGACAGTTTTTCAGCCTTAGTTCTGGGGTTTTAACACAAGCATTGTATTAACTCACTACTACATAGTCCCCCATTTTATAAAAGGATTGTATTTAATATTTGCATGAAAATGCTTTGCACTTAATGACTGCCTGAAGTGTAGAAGCCTTGGACATGCTCTGCCAGACCTCTAATGCAGCCACCTTCAGTTGCTGGTTTGTTTATGTCTATGCCAGTGTCTTCAGTAGCTGAAAAACATGCTCTCTTGGGTTGCCCGTTGAAGGACATCTTATTTATTTTTCTATACAAATTCTTGGGTTGCTTTTGCAGTATGTTATGACTGTCATTCCTAAACAATTGCTGCAAAAGTTTTGTTAAACTCTTTGAATCAAAACGTGAAGTCTGCACTCCAATCCCATCTGGATTGTTTCATTTAAAATCTACTGTTGTGGTTTACAGAGACAGAATTGCCAACATTGTGCTGTTTGTTTACTTACCGTGGTATATCAGTAGTTGTGTTTGAAATATTGGCCAGATTTTTCATAAACTTTGCACCGACTTGTAATGATGAAATGTCGATTTTAGGTCATCAGAAGGCCTCACTCCTCTTCATGTTGCTGCACTGTGGGGATGTTATCAAAATCTCAAGCTGCTCTTGATGAACGGAGGGAATCCATATATCAAAGATAATGTATGAATTGCTTAATCGTGGCTTTTAGACTAGTTTTTGGGAACATTTAGGTTAATCTGTTGTTTATATTTGTGACAACTTCAAGAGAATACCTGAAGGGTACTGTAAAGTATACTATAAAATTCTAATCTTTTGCTTTGAATATAGTGAACATTTTACTTTGAGTTTGCTCTTACTTCCGCTTTATTAATCCAGGAAGGAAACACTCCACAGCAGCTTGCAGAGCAACAGGAAAATCGAAAATGTGCCCATCTCCTTCAGGAATACCAGGCTGGCCCAACAGACACTGAGGAGGATGACATACCTCAGTTCCAATACTGTAAGATGACCTTTTTCAAGTCTTTGACAGTTGTATAATCACACTGAGAGCGCTGTTGAGAAGCTCCGCTACCGATTGTGAAACCAAAGGAGTTAAAACATTGGCAGTAGCATTACCTGTTTTTACTATCAAATAATGAAAAAACACAAGAACTATAACCTGCAGAACTCCCCGCCAGGGTGTAAAGAGTGGATAAGAAAAGTTTCAGGTTTGTCTTTACAGAATTTTGCTGACAGACTGAACTATGTTCATTTTTTTCCTTCACAGCTCTGTATTCCGACCAGACAGACATGTCCAGCTATCCTGAATCGGACTACAGCTTCAGTTCCCACACATCCATGATAAGTGACTTTGGAGAAGCCCCACTGAGCAGCACAAGGCGCTCATCATTTTTTAACCTGTCTAACATTAATGGACGACTAAGTTGCAGAAGTGTATCGCATCACAGACCATCTTATCCTTCCATACTTTCAAGCACTCGCATGTCTGCGGTGGAGCCTGCAGCTGCAGTATCGAATCTTAAAGAAGATGGCAATTGTACCGATGATACCACATCGAAAGGCGAGGAATGTACTGCTTCACCTGATGGCATAATCCCTCCTTCCAACTTCCCTGCAGTTTCCTTCATGCGAGCAAGTCAGAAGAGCGTGAGCTTCAGGGATGACGTGGATGAATATTACCCTGTTTTCAGCCCCGAATCTCCCCAACAGAATCCTGCTGTTGATGGCTGCCAGCGCAGCTTACCTTTTGACATATCTGAGTATTCTGATTTCCTGGATTCAGAACGCATGGCTACTATTTTACACAAGCAGGGCATTGACGCCACATCACCGGATCATGTCTACATTTTCTGCAGGGAAAGCAGTGAGAGCACAGAAGAGGACTTGGAGAAAACAGTCCTTGTTCACTGTGCTTTGGAAGAAAGTGATGATGAACAGGAAACAGAGCGTGTAAAAGACACTCAGGGGAACAGTGATGAAAACAAAGTACACTGCCATGCCGCCGGCAGCAGCAGTGGAACTAGTAGTAGCCATTATAGTAGCTGTGAGAGTGACCATTACACCAGTGCTCTGGATGCCTCTGTAAACCCTGAATGTCTTTCACTTAGTGCAGCAGATGATGTTTCTGCCAAGACTGCATTAGACAGAAAGACTCTGATTTCTACAAATTCTGATTGTGAACTTACAAAGATTCATATGGAAGCTAATACTGATTCCAAACCTCAAACGGTTGAGCGTTTATCAGGTATGCTTAATAAACTGACCTTGTCTGGAGTAAAAAATCCAAACAATGATATAGTTCAGGGTTGTGGTGGTAATGATGTAGACAGTCCAAGTAAGGAAGATGTTGTTGAGTCCGCAGCAGTAGAAGAAAAAAGTGATCATCCATTCACACCCAGTCCTTTTGTAACAGGCAGGACACGCTCAAGAATGAGCCGTTGCTCGCTGAGAACAAGCAGAACTGAGAGCCTCTCCACATCTTTGTTCGAAGATACCCTGCCTACACCAGTTCGAATACGCCGCCAGACTCCCAGATCTCCAACCAGTGAAGAGTTTTATAACTCACCACGCTTACCATCCAGTGCACACTGCTTTTCAGGCAGACCCACAGAAGGAGGGTGCTTGTCTGTGGACTGCCAAGAGACACAGTCCAGTACTCTCAGAGGCTCAAGTGTTAGTAACAGCCAGGCTGATACGCTTCTCCTCTCTACAAGTGTGACAGACTCTGCTGTTCAGTCACAGACTTTGTGTGACACGTTTCTACTCGAGAGCAATAATGACAATTCAGTCAGTGCTTATGAGAGAAACATTGCAGAGATTGCTTTTGCTATGCAGGAACAGAACTGTAATCTCACTGAAGACGGGGAATTTCTGACTGACGATCTGACAAGTTCAGATGAGACAACTACAAAGAGAAATGTAAACGATACCCCTCATGAGGAGCAGGTAGAAAGCCTAAACAATGAAGATGCCTGGATAACTAGGGACTGTAGCTCTCTGCCAGACTCTGTGTCGTCATCATCCACCTCCAGCTATGGTTCTCCAAGGAGATCCAAGGAGGACTCAGATTTTCCCTGCACCCCAGGTACTGGCTGCACACCGAGGTACAGCATGAGCAGGCTTTCAAGCTGCCGTAGGCCACAGCACCTGGCTAACCTGTCCTACACCCCAGGAGGGCGTCCACACATTCAGGATGTGGACGAACCAGTAGAGTACCTGTACACAGATACCGAACGCGGCCACAAACTGATTGAGACCCATGTCCCACCTACAGCAGATACCTCCCTCAGCTCCAGCGTGAGTACTACCAGCAGTGAGGAGACCATACTTTATGACTGGCGTACTTTGCATGCTGACATGGTGGACAGCAAAGAAAAAGAGAATCAGAAACCCCAGGTGGAGGTACAGAAGGCGGAAAATGAGAAGTGTGTGGACAATATTTTGCCAGAAATCAGAGGGATAACTGACAAGGAGCTCAGATCGAGGCTGGTGGAGCTGGGGGAAAGTCCAGGCCCCATCAGCAGTCGTACAAGGCCCACCTACATGCGAAGACTGTGCCGCCTGGTACAGGAGTCCAACTGCCAGTCACAATATCAACAGAAGAAGTTAGAGCAACCACAAGCAGGTAATGCTTTATTTCAAGTTTTTAAGTGACTTAAGGTAAGTTGAGCTCTGTTGTAACATTTCATTAAATATAATATCTACTCTTAAAATATATGAACACATACATTGACATTTAGTTTTTTATTTTTACAGATGCAGGTTACAGTCCAGAATTGTGTAGGGTTCTGGAGACCTTTAATCTTCCCAATTGCCAGGCTGATGAGCAGGCTTTGTGCCAGCAGTTTGACCAACCAGATCAGAACAGGAAGTGGAGAGAGGGCATCATCAAGTCCAGTTTCAACTACCTGCTGCTTGATCCAAGGTGCTTTTACCGTCATTTTTATTTATGTTTTGTTTTCTTCTGTGCATTCAGAGGAGATGAGTTGTTGCTGACTGTGTGAAAATGTTCACATTCACACTTCAGTAGATGCATCAGAGAGCACTTGTGTTCTGGATTCACCCCTATAAATCTCTAGTCATATTAGTTGTCTAAATTGAGCTAGTAATGGGCTTGTTTGTGTCTAATACAATACAATAAAATACAACTTTATTTATATAGCACATTTAAAAACCAACAGTATACCAAAGTGCTTCACAATAAAACAGCAGGTTAAAACATGAATGAACAAAGTACTGAATATGCTAACAGGTCACTGGCACTAATTACACAAGAATAAAAGTGAATATTAAATAAAACTTGCTAAAAACACATAGGTTTTAAGTAGAAGAAGATATTAATAAAGATAAAATTGGAATTAAGTATAAAATACAGGCGTTAACCAACCGGGAAAGAAAGATTAAATAAGTGAGTTTTTAATCGTGATTTAAATAATTGGATGGAGTCAGATGCGCGAATAGCAATGGGAAGGTTGTTCCACAGGTTAGGTGCAACCAGGGCAAACGCACGGTCACCTCTGCTCTTATGCCGAGATCGAGGCTGTACCAAGAGTAATTGGTCGGACGATCTGAGGGCTCTCCCAGGGGTGTATGGTCTAAGAAGTTCGGCGAGATAGCTAGGGGCTGCATTATTCATAATTTTGAAGGTAAGCGGCAATATTTTAAATTTGATGGGGAGCCAGTGCAAATCAGCAAGGACAGGGGTGATAGAGGCAAACCTTCCGGTACCAGTCAAAAGGCGTGCCGCAGCATTTTGGACAAGCTGTAATCTATGGAGAAGAGCAGCAAGTAAAGGGAATTACATTAATCTAATCTAGAGGTCACAAAGGCATGAATAAGCTTTTCAAGACCCTTATGTGGTAGACGCAGTTAGTAGAAGCTAGATTTGACTACAGAGGACACTTGTTTGTCATATTTGAAAGAGCTGTCCAGCAGCACACCTAGATTACTAACGGTGTCAGAGAGAAAAGTGGCAAGGGATCCAAAGGTATCAACTAGTTGGCCCTGGGGGAAATGACTGTCAAACACCACAATTTCGGTTTTCTTTTCATTTAAGATAAGAGAGTTGCCCAAAAGCCATTTGACTTCTCTCATGCACTCTAGGAAGCAGTGCAGTGACAGCAACATCGTCACTTAGCTGAAAGTAAATTTGTATATCATCAGCATAGCAATGAAATGACATGTTGTATTTTTCAACGGTTAAGCCTAGAGGTAGCATATAGAGTGAGAATAACATTGGGCCCGACACAGAGCCTTGAGGCACGCCACAGCAGAAGGATGCTGCAGAGGAAGAATAGGTACCCAGAGTGACAGAGGGGGACCTTGTTCGAAAGATAGGATTTAAACCAGTTAAGGGCGTCACCTCTAATGCCAACTGTATGTTCTAATCTCGTTAGCAGAATATTATGGTCCACCATATCAAAGGCTGAGGACAAGTCCAGTAAGACTAAGACCGCTGAACCACCTGAATCGGCAATTAGGAGAAGATCATTAAGGACTCTCAGCAGAGCTGTTTCAGGGCTATGACGTGGTTTAAAGCCAGACTGAAATTTATCACTGATCTTGATGAATGAAGTTGCGAGAGAACGATCTTCTCCAAGATTTTGGACAGGAACGGGAGTTTGGAAATCGGCCTGTAGTTCACAAGGTCATTATGATCGAGGCTCTTGTTTTGAGAACAGGCTGCACTATGGCATTTTTAAAGGCTGTCAGAACATGGCCAGAAAGCAATGAAGAATTCATTAGAGTTAAAATACTGGGCCCAATTGTATCAAAACTATCCTCGATAATGCGTGATGGGAGAATATCATGTACAGAATTTGTATTTTTCAGTTTTTCAGCTATTTGCTTAAGAGCAGTGAGTGACACTGGCGCAAACTGATGAAAGGTTGATAAACATCTTGGGGTGAAAGCAAGGCTCACAACTAAAGGGTGTGAAGACTTGAGAGATAAAATTTTATCTGTGAAGTAAAAATTGTTCGCAGAGACCTGGAGACGACACCGTCGGCATTTCATGACAGGGGTTAACCACTGAATTAAAGATTTTAAACAACATTCGAGGATTAGGGCTATTAGTCTCAATAATTTCAGAAAAGAAAGCTGCGTTAGCCATTTTAGCAGCATTTTGAAACTTCAGGCGGCTGGTACGTAAGATATCAAAGGATACCTCGAGCTTATCTTTTTTCCACCTCCTCTCGGCTCTGCACCACACACGTCGTAGGGCACGTGTTGAGTCGTTTAACCAATGTTGGGAATTGGTTTGAGGACATTTCATTTTAATAGGTGCTACAACGTCAAGGATAGAGGAGCATGTGGATAGCAAAGAATTAGCAAAGTCATCAACTGTATGAGGTATAGGACAATCAGTAATAGTGGGTGCAGAATTAACGAACACCACAGAAAAATTAGCCACAGTTTCAGAATTAATTATGGGCATAGGGTGTCTGAGGCTCTCAGGGTGCATAAATCAACATCAGAAATAACTGGGAAGTGATCAGAGATCCCAACATTGTCAGTGTTCTTAATACAAACGTCATATGAAAAAAATAAACAGATCAAGGGTATGGCCTTTAGAGTGGGTTGGTTCATTTAGCCACTGAACAAGGTTAAGAGAGTCAGTTAGAGCAAGAAAGTCTTTGGCTAATGGATCATCCTTACAACAGATATCAATATTAAAATCACCAGTGATAAGAACACCGTCATATTTAAAAAGAACAGATCCTAATAGCTCAGCAAAATCCTGTATAAAAGCCTTGTTGTATTTCGGCGGTCGGTAGACCACAACACACAGAGTTATAGAAGAATCGGCCAACTCCAGTAATTGAACTTCAAGGCTAGGGTAGGTAGGGGAGGGGAGCTGCCGAATTTTATGTTTATTTTTAAAAACTGAGGCTAAGCCACTACCTCTGCCTGTAAGCCTAGGTGAGCTGAAGAAGGCACAGTCTGGGGGGAGAAGTTCCGAGAAGGAGAACGTCTCACCAGGGCTAATCCAAGTCTCCGTCAGGAACAAAACAGCCCTGAGGCGAGGAAAAAGTCATTTAAAACACCAGCGACCTTACATTTAGTAGAGCCATCCGTGTCATGGGCGCCATGTCCCTACTCGTAGTGCGTCGCAAACGGCTTAGGTTGCTGTGATGCACGCCACCTCTGGAAGACGTTATCCAGGTCTGAATAGGCAGGCATGGGACTGGGAGGGCTGGGTAAACTTGCTGTCCGACGGAGCAGATCCACCGACGACTAAGCGATCTGGCAAGAAGGCAATCACGGGAGGAGGAGAGAGGACGTAGAATATCCATGCTAGCATGTGGATTAGCCATAGCCTGTGGTTTAAGGTAAGCCTTAATACGGACGTGAATGCCACTCCGTTTGCCCTGCTTCCTATAGCGTTTCTTGTACATGGTGGGTAGGGGTAGTCAGGATATGCTGGTGGTGGAGTCTGATTGTGACAGGGTGGCGTCTCCCAGAGTCCAGCATGGATCGGAACCATAGGAGTGAGAGAATTGAAGATTTAAGTGTTTGTCAGTCATAAGTAATTAGTGCATTGCCACCTGATGAGAATATTACCAAGAGAATGAGGAATACAATGCAAAAGTCAACAAAGAGGGGTTGAAAGGAGAGGTGAAGACGGCCTGCCGAGCACACTGGCACCATCTTTGAAACCCCCAGTTTAAATGTCTAAGCCAAATATAGTTTTAAAATAGAATACCATAAACACCTCTCAACTCTAAAAATATTAATTGAATCGTTTATTTCCCTCTCTGACAGAGTGACAAAAAACCTTCCCTTTCGCAGTCACACCATGACCCCAAAGGAGTGTTTCCAGACTTTTATCCATGCTATATTTTATGTTGGCAAAGGAAAACGCTCCCGTCCCTACAGTCATCTGTACGAGGCTTTAGAATACTTTAAAGGTGACAAAACCTCAAAGGTAAGGATGCAAATATTGATCGGTATTAATATATCGTATTGAAATAGTCTTTAATCGCGTAGTAAATATGTAGTTTGATTCTTTTTTTTGTTCTTCCTTGTCACAGAAACTGTGCTCCAAAGTCCAGCACATCCTTCAGGTGTGGAACACAGGGCAGGGTGTCATCTCTCTGCATTGTTTCCAAAATGTTATTCCTGTGGAAGCCTACACAAGAGAGGCCTGTATGGTGGAGGCGATTGGTGAGTGCATGAGGGCGAAACTTATCAAAAACTGTGAAATAAACATCACTACAATCCACAGCACGACTGCTGAGTACTTCCCCCTCTTTTTATGTATCAGAATCTGAAACCACCCTTGCAAACATCAGCCAAATAGGGGAAGGACCAATGATGTTAGCGGCTCATCACTGCCTCATTGGTGCCTTAAATTACTACTGTTGAAGTGTACACCTCCATGTTTAATACGTCCGTGTTGTTGAGTCCTAGCGACCTCTTGGAATATTGTAATTTGTAATTTTTAATATTGATAATTGTCTGAGTATCTTTTTTCTTTGGCAACCCTGCATATATTAAGTTACTCTGAAGTGATGGAACAGTGGTGCAGTGTTTAAGAAAAAGCAAAAAAGGTTTGGGGTTCAGATCCACCAGCCGCTTGGGTCTACCTGTGGAGATCCATGTGCGAGTGTGCCCTGGCTGGCACGCTTTTCTCAATGCCACAGGAAGCTCTTGTTGTGCAGTGCAAGCAATGGAAAAGAATGGGTTTTAGAGCATGGTGCATGTTGCATTCTATGTGAATGGCTTATAAGCAGTTAAAAAATAAAAATGGGCGGATAGAGGACAAAAAAACCCTGAAACTGTATTATTTTAAGATATTAACACAAACATTCAGGAAAAATAGAGAAATTGTATCTAATAGCAGCATTAAGTTTGAGCGATATTAACTAATACTAACATTTTACTGTTTAAACCTGTGATAGATGCTCGGTTTGGTTTTCATAAACTGCTAAACGCAATACTGTGTTTGACAACACTGATAGATTTGTCAGTGAAGCAACTTGACTTTCTCAACTGTTGCAGGGTTGAAGATGCTCACGAATCAGAAGCGAGGGGATTTCTATGGCATCGTGTCCAACTGGCAGACAAAGAAGAAACGGGAGCTCGGCATCCACCTGCTGTACCGTGCCATGCAGATCTTCCTGGCTGAGGGTGAAAGACAGCTTAGACCAGCTGACATCAGACAGTAGAGACACCCACTTGCAGTGGGGTATGAACTGCTTAAACACCAGAAGGGAAAATACCACTACTTCAGAAGACGACGCAATCCTTCATTTTACAAAGATTGAGTAATGACTTTAAAATTAAGAGCTCTGGAACTTTTACCTGAATTTTATCATCTTTTGCTGATAAACTAACACTGAATCCTCATACCCAGGGATTTGCAGTTTGACAAATGTGACATTAAGTTCAGTTATAGCATCTTAAATGTATATCGTGGTCATATTTTAAAATATCCTTCTTCAAAGTGCTCTTAGCGTATTTAACGCTGCGCCATGAGCAGAGAATGATGGATTTGAACCCCAACTAGCAGACATTTTCTATTGTTTCATATTATGCTAGCTGAGATCTTTTACTTGTAGTTTTTTTTAAAGAGTACTTGAGGATTTCACTTTGAAAACACACATTTTGCATTAAATTTTTTCATGGAGATTGAAGAGCTATTTTCTGAGCATACTTTGTTTGGTCTGGCCAGATGTGGTTAACACGATGACACAATATTATCACAAAACTTTAAAAAACTCAAGATTTTAATAATAGAAATCAAGATCAAGCTATTTACTACAAACATTATTCCCATTTGGTTACTTTTGTTGACTCTTGTAGAATAAATTGGTTATGACTGCAAAATTTTCCAAAGAAGCAAGGAGAGCAGTAAACACAGGAACACCTAATCAGGTTACTATTTCTGTTTTTAAAAAAATGTTGTACTTATCAGGGCTTTTTAACTGTGGGTTAGCATGTTAGGTTTCCTAGAACCTCATTGTGTTCTAAAATAGGATCTTTTGTCATTTGTAAATATAGTATTTCAGTTAAATTGCATTAAAAAAAAGTTGATGTGGGTACATTTCTATCCAGGTGTTTACAAAATCAGCAGTAGAGGCAGGATGCTTTAGCGTTGTGGGTCAGCTACAGACAAATGTTACACTTTATTGGCAAAACATTTGATCTATTATGATTATTTCTGCAACTTTCTGATGTTATGAAATAGATGTATCCATTATTAATAAAAAAAAGATATACAACTTTAAAAGGAACCTTTTTTTTTTTTGTGCATCAGACACTACAGAGTGGTTGCACTTAATAGCAGTTGTGTATATATATACACACACACACGCACACACACAAATAAATGTTAATGTAATGCAGCAACAATTTGGATTTTATCTTGAAATAATGGAGATGTTACATTCCACGTCAAATGAATAACAAGCACATACTAATAAGAGAAAGTTTGCTTAAAATTGATTTAATTTTTAAATCATGTGTTTTTAAATCTGACCTTTGGCATTGATGTTTCTCCTTTGTGCATATTAATTTGTGCCCTTTGACGTATGCCATTTACTGACACTGCACCCTGCAGCATCCTCTCCACAGTCTGTAATACAGTTACATAGCAGATTGATATGAAAATGGTTATAGTCAGGTGATCTTCATGCATGGCTTTGAATAATAATATAATAAAAAGATATGCTCAGTAATTCTAACACTTATTTTAAAAGTATAAAAAAAAGCTCAGTTAAAACTAAATAAATATCATTTCATCAATATCATAAAAAAATATCATTATGAACTTTTTTGCTATGTTTTTGAAAAACAAATGTACCATTTACAAACTGGTATTAGAGCAAATGAAATTGTGTTCCATTGTTTTTGGAGGGTATTTCTGTTCATATATAAAATAAGCAGCAATTTATTTTTTGTGATTCCAACTAAAGCCGGGTGAGCTTCATCACTAGGGCCAACTCCATATACAATTACATAGTTTACTGGAAAATAATAGTGTTAAACCCAGTTTTTGCCATTTGACTGTGGCTGACCCATTTAAGGAAGTACACGAATGCTTTAGCTGGTTGGAAGTATATCTCCATGATCTGCATATGTGAAGCCCAGCAGACTTTCTGAGTCAGTAGCAGAAACAGTTTCAATGTTTCAGGCCATTTCATGTGGTACTCAGGATATTCTGAATGTAAGTTATATCTCAATTATCTCATAAGACATGTAAAAAAAGGAAGGCTAAGTAGTGACATTATTACAGTGTCAGGATGATGTGGAAGCTCCAGGTATTACTTTATATCACAAAACAACACTAATTCTAACAACTGGAATTGCATTTTAGATATACATGTGTTGCACCCCTCCCCAAATAAAAATCTACGTTCAACTTTTCCATGAGCGAGTAAAGCGCTGGATATATGACAGCATTAACCTTTAACTCTTATACAAGTGGTATGAAAACAAACTCTACTATTTTAAGTGTGTAATAGCATGAAAACTGTGTAGATTTATTTAGCCCTCATGTTGTTGTTATGAAAAATAAAGCCCCTTCTCTGTAGTCTGTTATTTTCACTGTTTTTTGAATTGTCATGCACAAAAATACATTGTTGCAACTTATGTAACTGTGTGATCACATGCTCTATTTTGACTTTCTGTGATTTCAATGTAACAAAAGAAACAAAATACATCTGCAAACTGTTTCACTGGTTTGTCCTTTCTTTATTCCCAGTCTTTGGTGGCCCTCTAGTGGACAAAGGAAGTAATTAATTTTGTTATTATGTGTACAAGGCAATTCTCTTGACGTAATAACTTCTCTTTAGCTGCTGTAGTTCACTGAAGGTGGTTTTTGGTGTAGCCCACATGTCATGCAGATCGTTGAACTGTGCTTAAGTCTGATGCGCCTTCATTTTGTTTGTACCCGCCCCCCCTTAAAAAAAAATCAACGTGACCTTCGGTTGCATCTTTCCTACACACCCACACACAAAGAAACACACAAAGTCATTAACAGTGCGCATAAAACTGCTTTGTGAGAATGAGTTATCTCTCTACTTGGTAAAATATTCACAACTAATTTTCAAAGAATGTTCTTTAATTACTGTTATCATGACTCATTCTGTATCATCTACAGCTTCTTGTTAGTGGTTAGGCAATATTTCTCACATGATCTGCACAAGAACACTAAGTGTACTCTTATTTGCCACTGGTGTCAGTCCTGAAGGCAGTAACGAGGCCTGCACATCTCTTATAAATGGTAAATTAAGTAACTGCTTCTTTCCCCTGCAAACATTTCTGAATTTAGACTCTTTAGATAACATCTTAAAATGATGGACATTAACTTACATAATATAAGCAATCGCAAAAATAGAGGCATGTCTAAAATTAAAGAATATAAAGTAGGCCTGCTTTTAAAGCTTCAAATTACTGTTACAGTACATGTGGTGAAACTAAAGTGAAACTAAAAGACCACTTGCAGGGGTTTTCCAATTCCACCAGTAGTGTTCTTGATTTTTGCTGGAAGTGTTATAATACAGAATCGGCACACATCAGTTTTTCATTTGAAAAACAAGCAGGTACTTTCCTGGTAAGGTAGCTCAGCAAACCCCAGGCAAAAAAAGCATCTCTCTGGCCTTGCACTTTGTAAACTTCAGAAAGAGTCTAAAGAGTAGCTTCGCATATACAAGAATATTTTCACAACTTAAGAGAATCCTTAAATTTAATGCTATTTTCAAATAGAAAACTCTTTGCAGGCATATATTGCGTAATTTATAAATGGCAAGTGGAAACCACACTACAAAAAATCAAAGGGTAAAAACTGTGTATTTAATGTGTAACAATTTTGTAGAAGTTATTTTTGCATCTTTTCGATTGTTTGGATTTTAAGTCCTGGTGTTGTGTATGTATAAAGCTATATATACACACCCCCACACACACTCTACTTTAATACTGTAACTCAATATATTCATCAATATTACATTTGTATAACTATATAGAGGCACTTGTGCTACATAACTTGAGCTGTCTTAACAAATCAGCTCTGGATCGCCTTCAGTCTGTACAGAATGCAGCGGCAAGACTTTTAACTGGTACAAACAAGAGGTCACACATTACTCCAGTTTTGGCTTCTCTTCATTGGTTGCCTGTAAATTTTAGGGTTCATTTTAAAATTTTAGTTGTAACTTTTAGAGCTCTGCATGGTGAAGCTCCCCAGTATATCTCTGACCTGTTGAAACCTCATGCTTCATCCCGAGCACTTAGGTCTTCAGGTCAGAGGCTACTGGTGGTCCCACGTACTAGGTTTAAAACACGTGGGGATCGGGCTTTTCAGGCACCTAGGCTGTGGAACTCTCTGCCGTTGTCTTTACGCTGTCTAGACTCTACTGACTCCTTTAAAAAGCAGCTGAAGACATTTTTATACAAACGGGCTTTTAACTAATTTAATTAATTTTAACTTGTATGTCTGATCTTACTGTAAAGCACTTTGTGATTTTTATCTGTGAAATGTGCTATATAAATAAATTTTACTTACTTACTTACTATAATTTAGATAACATTTCTTCTCAGTGAACAAAAGTTCAGAGATTAGTAAAAACTAAGAGCATAAGACATCATTTAATATATATTGCAAGTTCAGTTATAAAATACATAACAATCCTTAATTATTAAGACGAAACGTGACATCTTGACTACATTAAAATATGTATATAATATATATAAATATATTAGTGTTATGGAGCTTTGTTCAGTTGCATTAATGTCTTGCATAGTTTTTAACTTGGTTTTAACAAAGATCTATGTGAAAGACTCATCACATCACCAAGGGTTGAATTCTCAATCATTTATTTTATAACACAGAAAAAATACACATATACAACAACAGGAATGCATAATAATGTGTTTATATATTCACTGTATTAGAAAAACAAATGTTTTTTTAAAACTGACAAATTACCATTTAAAAGGCTGATAGAATATATGTCCAATAACCATAATTACCAGTATTTTATATTAACCTTTAATAGTTACTATTCTTATGCAGTATTTACAATTTCTAAATCATTGATACAATCCCCGATGCACACACAAGGCATGTGCACCGTTTCTTCAAAGGTCAGTTTTTTCACAAGCTACCTCTTGCAACATTTTTCTTCCTCCCCAGCTCCCACTCCCCCAAGTCTACAGCCCCCAAAGTGATCGTGATGCGATCTGAACTGCCTGTCAATTCACACCGTCCATGTTTACTGCTCTTAAGGGTAGGCGAGGGACAGAGGCAAGCAGAGAACTAAAAAACACCATCATCAGCATAACGTGACACTATTCCTTGTGACGGTCGGATGAAATCTGGGACACAGTTGCATTCATCGTTCAGTGAGCTCTCCCACACAGTTAAACCCACCGACAGCAATGAATGTTGATTGTGACCTTTGCTGTGGTTTGCAAGCTACAAGTATTTTGTGTTTCTGGAGAATGGACGATGCGTTCCTCGTGTGCCCCACCCCTTCTAAGACCATGTCTGTGCAAAGATTTCTGCATATGTTCTTTTCTTCTTTTCTGTGACAAAGCCTAGCCACAGGGTACAGTCAACGGTCGATGGTTTTTTTTCTTTCAATTTAGCTCAAACTCACCGACAGCGTTGAATGTTCACTGGGGCAAGCAGAGACCTGATGGTGACTGGGGATGACAGTCTGCTTGGCGGGAGCATATCTTCTCTGTGAGGGAAAAGCTTCTTTCTTCTTCTCTCACCAAACCTCCCTTTCTTAGTAACACTGACAAGGTCATGACTGTAACAAACCTGAATTATACCATCTTTTCCAGTTAGGCTAATCAGATGACTAATACTATCCAAGTCAAACTTCCAGTTAATATAAACTGACAATAAATAGTGATAAATTATAAGAAAACATTATTTTTAAAGGTTCGGTTAATCACAATGCTGCCATCTTTCACATCTTTTTGGAGCTTTTTTTCCTTTTTTACATCCACTACTTCTAGAAAGGTATAAAAGAAGACTTTAAAATATACGCTGAACTTCTTTAAGCAAGAATAATTTTTCACTAAACCCATTTATTTGGATTTCTTAGTAGAAGAACATTTTCCATCAAGCCTGGAGAGCTGCATTTACCAATGACTTCCATGCCACATGGTCATTATTACACCAAAGAACTCATCAGTGTGTAAGAAAACATTTCCTTGGTAAATAACAGTTAGAAAAGGGAAGTCATCTTGAAACTCCTGACTCATAG